CCAGATCTGAAGAAGATGAAGGCATAAAAAAACTAGTAATAGAAGGCCTAGCACGGAGTCTAACGTATTCAGGACAAACCTGACGGCCCCCGGCCTCCACCCACAGCTATGGACCCTGGGTGAGGCGTGGCTCTGGGCAGCTGCGCCCCTGCCTGTCAGATGGGAGCCCTGCGGGCAGGACCGCTGTCTGGGACCTGAGTGACAGGTGGGCAGCAAGCCTGGATCCACAGGACGGCCGTACTGGCCTGGGCCTTCGAGACCAGCTCTGCCAGGACCTGCCATTCACAAGCCTGGAGAGGGCTCTGACGTCCTCCCCAACACACGCGCACACACGTCAGTCACAACTGCCATGTCAGGACGCCTGCTTACACACTTCTCACCCTCCTAACACGGGCACAGTGTGGTCCGCTGTCTGGGTCAGGAACGGGTGGGGACACCTAAGTGACTTGCAGAACCAAGACTCAATCCCGGCTAAGTGTGATGCACGCTCTTCCTACTGCCCCAGGCTGCGGCCCACTGCCACACGCACACACACAAGGGCACACGCACGCACACACGCACGCACACACACATGCTCACAGCCCTACAGAATTGCCTCCTGCAGCTGCCTCTTTACATCCCGGACCCCAGCTGTACAGAGAGAGCCAGCCCGGGCATCACCCCAAGTCAGCCCTCTCCGGCCCTGTCAAGAGCACAGGGGTCTCCTGCTCAGGGCTCAGTCTCCATCCCTGACCACCTGTGTTTTTCCCACAAAAGGGCTGTGCCGGTCACTCCCATGTCATGTCATGTCATGGAGTCTTTCCAGGCCTTACATGGACAGCCCCCATCTCCAGAGGAGAGACTTGAGTCTCAGTGGGTCACACACCCCGTCTGCAGCCACCCCAATACAAAGGTGGGGGACAAGGGCCAGGGAAGACAGGAAGTGTTGGGGCCACAGGGGCGCCAGCACCCACCCCTTCAGGGAGAGGGAGAGGGGCCGCCCTGGAGGAGAGGTGTGCCACGAAACCTGACCTGGAGGCAGCCACCAAGACCTGGACGGGGGCACGGGTGGAGGCGGCAGAACTTGGGGTGCTCCCTCGGCCTGACAGCCAGCACTGCTATGCTAAGCTGCCCTTCTCTGCGCCCTGCTTCCTGGGTCCCAGGGAGGCCGTCCCAGCCCTGCAGGCTAAATCCATTTACCCCATCACACTATTTTACTTCTTTCGCAACACTCAACACTACCTGCAACGATTTTCTAGTTTTTTGTCTTTCTAAAAGTCACACACAACTTTATCCACTAGTATCCCGAGCACCAAGAACAGCGTCGGGCAGAGTGTTAAGTGAATCACAGGCCTCGAAATGCTGCCTCTTTAACTCTGCTGAGAGTGAACTCCCAGCCCAGGGAGGCAAGCAGCCTCTGCACATCACAGGGGAGTGCCAAGTGGTGTAAGGGAGGGCCTCCCGGCCACCTGGGGAATCGGGAAGGCCACCCAGGAGGCGCAGCTTGACCAGGTCTCCAGTGTCTCTGCCCGTCCCCTCCCTGTACTGGGGGGAGGCACGGCCCTCAACCTGCCCCGTCCTGCTCTCCAGGACTCCCTCTCCTGATTGGCCCCTTCGCTCCTGGATCTGCAGCCTTTCCCTGCCTATGACTCCTTCCTTCCCCCTAGCATTTGAAGGAGCTCCTGTCTTTCTCATCTAAAAATGAATCTTTCTGGATTTCACCTTCTAAATGGAAGGAGTCTGGGCTCCTGCGTCCCATCACCCTCCACCTGCAAACCCTCCAGATCCTGCAGCTGCTCCTCTTAACTGCGCCCCACTCTGCCTGCTCTTCCCCACACTCAGCACTGGGCCTTCTGTTCACTTGTGTTTCCGGGCACTTTGCTCTGGGCCTGTCACGGTGACGATGGAACCAGCGACACCAGGGAACCTGGGGACATGACGGGGGGCTTGGCCATGGTAGGGAGATGGCCTTTGGCTCCGTCTTCC